CCATGTACGGTTTACAATACAATGTCCAAATTTGACTCAAACACTTTACGCGATTCCATAATGAACGCTTCGTGTTCGTCATAAAGAGTTCGATAGCGATTTCTGTCTAGTACATCGATCTCTTCATTGTGGAAGGGTACGTGAAGAAGGACCATTTCTCGCTTGTACTCGTCCGCTTCTGCGAGCTGGTAATTTCGATACCGCAATATTTTCGGTATCGCTCGGCGTTTGTAGTTCTTCTTTCGATCTTGATAGAAATGAGCCATAAACTGCGCAAGTGATATTGTCTCCATCGTTGGCCGACGAGATTCGTACTTTTCTAGAACATTCTCTATCCAAATATCTGTTGATTCTGTTCCCAGTTCCTCGTCTTCCATTTTTTTCTTTGATTTGCGAACGCGCTGACGTTCACGCGGCCACGTCGTTGGAACATACTCGACTTTACGACTGCACTCACTCATATGCAGGTTTAGTAAGTACCGCGTGGCCTCTTGCGAGGAAATTTCTACCGCGTTCAACATTTTCAACCCGACTTCGGTCAATATAGCGCTATAATCTTTGTCGGGATATTCGTCTCGTAGTTTGATTAGTTCACGTTGCAAATTACTCATTCCACGGTTTGTTTTGTTCACATACTCAACAACATACGTGGTACACGAGTACTCTTCCAGAATAAACTGTATATCACAATTTGATCGCAGAATTTTCGTGACCCATGGGTTGAAATTGTTAATCCATCGTTGCGCAATCAATCGCTTTACAAATATCTTGGGACGAGTGATGCCGGCGCGCAAGATATCGAGATAGTAGTCGTTATTATCGATGCCATGGTGTAAGAGAAAAGTGTCTAGCGAATCAAATTCTTCGAATTCGAGCGAGCGGTGCATATCGGCGTACTTTTGTCACAATCGTTCGCGACGACCGTCGTCCTTTGTGATCGGCAGAAGCACCACCGTACGTTCCATTGGCCAGAATGGGGCTCCGAAACGACAACGTTTGTTCTGTTCGTCTTTGGCACGTTTGTAACAAGTAAACGTATGCTTGTGCCTCTGAAATTTCTCTTGTTCGATACGATCAGGATCAATGCTAATTAACGAGTCGATCAAGGATATAGACAGTTTCATATTTTCGTCGACGGTTTCTTTGGGATCAGCGGAGAGCCAAAGTAAAATGTGTGCATGCAGACTACCACGATGTTGGAAATCTACGCGCTTGAAATATTGGACGACATGGTAGCGACCGAATGGAGAATACACTTTCGACTTAAGAATATACATTATTGTGTCGACGAGTTTATCAAAGTATAAACAGCAAGTTACCGGGTCCTCATTGACGAGCGTCGTCCGCAAATCAGTGCTCATTGAAGTGGCTGGATCGCCTTCACCGGCCCATTCCTTTCCCACTTCCAATTTATGAAGTATTCGCAAAAGATCAGACCAACTGTACTCACTCGCGCTTAAAGTGAGGAAAATCGTGGGCTTTCCGAGCTGTCGAATCATCGCAAACACGTCTTTTTTTTCTAGCCATCCAATATTGCACGCTATTAGGAATCGATTTTAAGAACGCCAGATTACACTCGATCATACTGTCCATAAACTGCTTATCTTCGATATTTTTGCGAGTCAGCTTCTTTAAGTTATCGCTATTCTTAAAAGTGCAAAAAATGCTTTCCGTCAATCGCATTCGCATCACTTTCATTGCCATATAGAGAACGTGTTCGGGCTTGACTCCGCGGCGATCGGAACGACGGATCTCGCTAGTAGCCATCATATATAGTGTAACGCCGTCAATCGTAAATTTACGTGGTTCACCTAGGTAAATGGACGGGAACGAGAGCTCTTCGGCATGCTCGTCGAACAGAAGCGAAAGATGATATTTGTTCATCCCAGGTGCAAGCTCAAGATACTTATCCTCACTTCACATCAACGTTTGCTGCTTCGAGAGTAAGAGATTGTTAACGTGCTCCGGGTTTTCGGAAATGGGTTCGATCATAAGTTCGCCAGACGCATCAGCTTCTGCCTCAGGAATGGGTGCCAAAACGGGTGAATTATCATACTCGTGGTACAAAAACTCGTTGATACGAATTCCAAGGTACAATGGTTAAGTGACAAGAAATCGGAGCCACCTTTTTACTACCGACTTTTTCACGTATCCCGTCAAGTAGGTCGATTTATGAATTAAATGTCGTTTAATGTGAACATCGAACGCAAGATCGTCATCCAGTTGGCGAGGCAGTTCCGATACCATCGAGTTAACATCCACTGGAATGTTGATTCCAAATGTAGGTCATTACATGTCACCTAACCTCTAATTACTTTATGTTTTTGCCCCCCCCCCTGATTCAATTCTTAGCTACGCCCTTGGGTATAGAATATGTATAGAAAATCTATAGATAATTATTTTTATTTATATTCGTAGAATATACCGAGTACGGTGCGGGCCGCGAGATAATAAAATCCTCCACTCGTCATAGTGCAGACGGCAAACGCTGTTTTGATTGAAGTATAAACTATATTTTTATAGTAAATATAAAAATAGTAATTACTCATTAGTAATTAATAATTTTTTATTCGATTATTTTTATAATAATCGAGTTACTCGATACATTCATATAATCGAGTTACACGATTATTTTTTCTCGATTGTTCACATCACTAATGACACATTTAGTCCCGGACTTTCAGCCGCCCGCCTAACACGTAAATAATTTTTGCTGTAGACTGTGGAGTGATAGTGATAGTGTACCAAGTGTATGAACGTGTACAATTTTTATTAAAATACATTTTTTAACTGCAACACTTAATTGGTATTAATTTTGTTGAATTATCACGTTAATAATTATTGAATATGTCAGAGCAAAAACGTATACGGTTATCAGGAGCTGCATATGGAAAACAAAAATTAAAACGTGATGAAGAAATTAAAAAAAAAACTGGTTCCTTTGAAAAATATTGGAAAAAAAATAATGAAGTTTTAAATAATCCAGAAACACATTCTAAAATTATTTTAGAAGAATCAAATACCTTATAAGTTACCGACAATGAAATAAACACAACTTTGGAAGAATCAAATATCTTAGAAGTTACTGACAATGAAATAAACACAACTTTGGAAGAAAATACGAGTATTAAATATAATGAAAATGAAAATAACATATCTGACCCCGGGACATGGCCAGCGATTTTTTCAGATTTATTACGACTTCAATTAGTAAAAACAGGTCCCACTAAACCAAATAAAGATTTCAAATATCCTAGAGATGCGTTAAATCGACGGTTTCCAATTTCAATTTTAAGTAAAGCATTAAAAAATGGTGAAGTTATAGAACATACGTGATTAATTTATTCTGTTAAAAATGATGAAGTTATAGAACGTACGTGATTAATTTATTCTGTTAAAAATGATGTTGTGTACTGTTTTTGTTGTAAAATATTTAGTAGTGAAAATTATGCATTGACTAAATTTGGCTGTAATGATTGGAAAAACGTACTCAATATAGTTAAAGAACATGAAACAAGCAAAATACATTTTAATTCTTTAAAAAAATGAATGGAACTGTCTGCTAGATTAAATAGCAATCAAACCATAGATCCTGCCCATCAACGTGTATTAAATAATGAAACTCGGCATTGGCAAAATGTACTTGAGCGTTTAATGGCAATCATTGAATTTCTTGGTAAACAATGTTTACCTCTTCGAGGTACAAACGATATTCTTTACGAAAACAATAATGGCAATTTTCTCGGACTAGTACAGCTGCTGGCAAAATTTGATAGTGTTTTATCAGAACATGTTCGCAGAATTCAAAATAAGGAGATTCATAATCATTATCTAGGTAAGGGGATTCAAAATGAAATTATACATTTACTTTCTCGAGCAATTAAAAATAAAATACTTGAAAAGTTAAAAAATACTAAATTATACAATAATTGTACTCCCGATAAAAGTAGAGTATAACAAATATCAAGAACTATACGGTTTGATGATATTAATTAAGATACAAAAAAAGTAGATATTTGTGAACATTTTCTTGGATTTATTCCGGTTGATATTACCACAGGTCAGGAACTTACAAATGCAATATTGTCAGAATTAAAAATAAATAAAATTCCAATACAGGATATGCGAGGGCAAGGTTATGATAATGGCTCAAACATGAAAGGTCGTAATTCTGGTGTACAAAAAAAAATTTTAGATATAAATAGTCGTGCTTTTTTTGTACCATGCCATGCTCATACACTAAATTTAGTTGTAAATGATACTGCTAAATCATCAACTGGAGCAAGCAAATTTTTTATTCAAATTCAAGCTATATTTGTATTTTTAAGTGGTTCTATTCGTCGATGGGCTATTTTAAAAAAACATATAACACAATTAACTTTGAAGCCATTAAGTGAAACTAGATGGGAGAGTAGAATAGATGCAATTAAACCATTCAGATATAAAACAGGTGAAATATTTTATTCATTATACGAAATAAGTCAGGATATATCTTTTGATCAAATTACACGATTAGAAGCTGAATCTTAAGCTAAAAAAATAAAAAATTTTAACTTTATGTGTTGCGTTATAATTTGGCACTCAATTTTAAATCAAATAAATCTAGCGAGAAAAGTGTTACAGAAAGTAATATTAGATATATCTGGCGCAGAAAATATTTTATCTGAAACTATTAATTTTTTAAAAAAAATTCGATGTGATGAGAGTTTTGATAAATTTTTAAAAGATGCTGAAACCATAGCTCTTGAATTGGATATTGAGGCTTCTTTTACGCAACAAACTTATATACGCCCACGAAAAAAAAAACCGTGTTCTTTTCTTATGAACAACCAGATGAACCCATAATTAATTTAAAAACTAAATTTTAAAGTTGAATTATACTTTTATATATTAGACGTAGCTCTCAATTCTTTTGAAGAAATATTTGAACAATTACATAACCACTGCGATAACTTTAAATTTTTGTATGATATAAGTAGTCTAAAAAGTATAACGAAAGATAACATTGTGAAAAATTGTATGGATCTTCAATTGCTACTCTCAGAAAATGAAAATGTTAGTAATTCAGATATTGATGCCATAGAAATGACAGATGAGTTAGTAGCAATATCCGAGTTATTAAAACCCAACAGTACTCCGTTAGAAGTGTTACAGTTTATTGTAAATAATAAAAATTTTGTACCAAATGTAGCTGTAGCACTTCGAATTATTTTAATTATGCCTGTGTCGGTTGCATCTGGCGAACGGAGCTTTTCAAAATTAAAAATAATTAAAAACTATTTAAGGTCTTCTATGAATCAAGAAAGATTAAGTGATCTTGCTACAATTTCTATTGAAAAAGAAGTAATGGAAAATATGGAATTTAAAAGTTTACTGCTTGATTTTGCCCAAGAAAAGGCTCGCAAAATTAATTTTATTTAATATATTTTTTAATGTTAAATTAAATACATATTTTTATTAATTTATTTCATACCCAACATTTATTTTAATTTTATTATTATTATTTTATATTTTGTAAAGAAAACTTAAGTCAGTCAAAACATTTTATTTTGTTTAAATAAACAATGTTTCATAAATAAAAATGAATGTCCTTATTTTATTCAACCTCTTCCTCTCCAAAAAATTAACTATTGCATAGGGCAGCGTAAATTAGATTTGCCTAGGGCGGCAAAAAACCTTCGGCCTGCTTTGGGGCCTGGCATAAAAATGTTTTATTTTATTATACAATTAAACTAGTGGATTCATTTATGAGGAGATGGAAACTGGGACATTTGCCAGTTTAGTCTTCAATTTATAGTTGGCACACTTAAAAAATATTAGAAAACTTCAAGAGGCTAATTTTGTTAATAAATATTAATTTTGGGTCAGCTGACCTCCTGAACCTTTCCTAAATCCACCTCTGGGCCAAAAGCAACCACGCTAACATGAAAAATCGCAGTACTTATTTCCCTGAATTCAATTAAACTAAGGTTATTCTTGTTGACGTGATTTAATAGAACTAGGTTTAACCGCTATAGTTTATATACATTTTTGTCTCTAGATCAGAATCAAACAAATATACTTTGAAAAATTGAGATAAGTGTTGTTAACGGTCACATACACGAACACAATGATAATTCGTTAATTACATAAATTTATATTTTATACATACATATGTATGTTTGTTCGGCTTTAACTAATAGTCTACCCATCGAATTTTGATGATTTTTTTTTCAATATTCTCATGACTCCAAAAGTGCTATAGGTAGCGCCGTATTTGGGAATTTGACACCAGTGGCAACAATAAAAAACGCCTCATTATACCAAATTTCTGCGGGTTGAAAAAAATTTTTCTGAAGAACAGTGGCGCACACAGGATTTTTTTTCGGAGGGGGGTCAAGGTAAAAATATAACACATTTTACAATTAACAAAATCAAGCAAATCCTTAATATATTTTGACTTAAATAATAGCATTGATAATAGAATAGACTATTCTATAATCAATGATACTAGGTATTTAATACTAGCTCTTCATATTTCAAACTTGTAAAATTTGTAAATTTTGACCTAGATATCGGAGAAAATTTCGGGGGGGGGTTACAACCCCTTATCCCCTCTGCGTGCGCCACTGCTGAAGAACAATTCATTGCTGGTGTACACAAAAACATTCGAAGTGCGATGTCAACATAAGAATAGATTGTAAATCTTTAGAACTATCAACAGTACTCGACCGTTACCGAGTGTGTGTGTGCCGTGACGCCGTGATTGGCGATATATATATTTTTTTGAGATACACTTTTTATTTTGTAAAGAAGTTACACTTCAAAAATATTAGATCATTAAATATTGAAAATATAAAAAAATTATCCGCCCTCTTATATTCATCCAGCCGGGGAAACAGCACCCTGTAGCTCCCCCCTTAATTACGGCCCTGGGTATAGGCTATGTTTCGTTAAATTTTGTAATATATTTATTAACTTTTTAATAAATTTTCATGTATATAATTGCACGGCGTATTTCGGATGTTCCCGTGACCGAACACGATAGTACCTACATATACTAGAAACTTCTAGAAGAGATAAATAAATAGCAGCAATAATGCTGCTATTTTTAAACATTCATGCGGTAGCTTATGCATATTAGCATCAATTATAAATACAGTATTTATATACTTTTGCAATAAATAATGAAAATATTAAATTTCTTACAATCAATTTTGAATAAAAGTTATCAGATTAATGATATTGTTACGTTCAAGATTATATATAGAAATAATCTATAGAATTTGGGGAATATTATAATAAAAATGGAAAATTCCATGACGTTACAACCATGGTAGCCTAATCACCAAACATAATTTCGTTGCGCTCGTAAATGTAGGTACGTGTATTGAACTTTTTTCTACTTATGTCAGTTGTGTTTCATTTCTAATTTATTTATGTTACAAATATTGGCAATTTTTAATAGTTAAGTACTTGTGCTTTATAAAATTAAAATTGTTGTGTTAATAATACCTACATCTACTTACTTTTATGCTAATTTTTTATCGACGTTTTAATTGTCTATTTAAAACGAGGCAAGTATATTTAATAAGGAATCCGTGTCTTATATTTCATAGTACTCAAAAAGTAAATAATAATATTAAGTTTTTTCTAATAGTAGGTGCAATATGGCAGACCGAAAGGCGGAATTAGAAAAAAAGAAAGCAAAATTACAAGCTATTAGAGAACAGAAAGAACGTCTTCGTAAAGAAAAAGAAAAAAAAAGATGTAAGTGAGATGCATATTTAGAAATGTACAATAGAGTACAATAGAAATACAGTAGACATTTTATTGTAATATTTTTTTAAAGCTATACTCTTTATACTTATATTATAAAAAATATGTATTTTTTATAAGAATTTTATTTTAATAAACATAAATATTATTTAGAAGTGATTTATACCAGATTAAAATATTTTCAAAATCAAATCAAAACTTTAATATTTTTATGTATATAATACCAATTGTCTATTATAATTATCTATTAAAGTTTTATTTACTTAATAATTAATTGAACATTGGTAAATTGTTAATTAAAGATAAATATTTCTTTATGAATTGTTCCAAAAGAACTGAATATAGTGTAATATTATTAATTATTTAATAAAATAGGCAGATGAAGCAGTTTCTCGTGGTATGAGTATTGAGAAAGATCAAGGTAAAGAAATTGATGAAATGTTATCATCTCTTGGAGTTGCACCAGTTTCCGGTATTTTTTATTTACATTTTATCAATTTCTTCAAAATTATTTATTTTAATTATTTTAGATGTATTGTCAAGTTTAACCATTTCACCAAACAAAAGTGAATTATACAGTTCTATGTCAACTCCTGATTCTAGTATCAAAAGATCATTACCTCAAACTCCCTCTACTTGGTAATACCTAATTAAAAAATATTAATCATACATTTATAATCTTATTTATTTTTATTCGTTTAATGTTGCATTATTTTGATGGTTGATAATTAAAATAATAATTTTTCGATTTTAATTTAAAAATTAAATACTTATGAAACTAAATGTCAGCAATTCAAGTTAAGTCTACACAACAAGTCCACTATGTCAGCAACTATTTATTACTAAAGCTGTTTTTTCTATTATTTATAAATTAAAAAATAAATTAAATTTTATAATGAACTTTTAAAAAAAGAAAATTTTTTTTAAAAAATTTCTTTAAAAAAAATCTTAATTATAACTATTATAACTTTTAATGATCAATCTCAATTTAAGATGAAGGCAAATCAATTTGTAGATTCACAACAAACATTTTAATTGCTAAAATTTTGAAATAACAAATCTAACTAACTTAAATGTTTCTAGTTATCACCCCCTGTTATTTAAAACAAGAAATCTCCTAAATTAACATTTATAAATTCTTGAACGATAAATTAGTGTATAAAATATATGATTTAAAATTTTAATTAAATAAAAATATTAAAAAAAAGTTGGAGTAGGTATCATTAATAAGGCGCTGTTTTTGTAATATTAAGCACGTTAAAATAAAATGGCCTCACTTTTGTTCTGAAATTGAAACAGATTGTGTACAATAAATAAAATCAAAAAACCTACAGTTATATAAGATCAAGTTAAATTTAAAATAATTAATAATATTAAAACTTCTTATTAGTGTTAGCATTTTAGATAAAAGATAAAAATAACTAACTGTATTTTAATAAATTCTATAAAATATATTTTATATTAATATTTTTTCTTTATTATTTTGAGAAAAAAATTATTTAATATTATTTTAAAATTATCTTATTGTATTTATATTTTTAAATATTTCAGTCCAAAACCAGTAAAGAAAGTTAGTGAGTTATCAATTGTTTCTTTATCTTCTACTAATATTCCACCTAAAGAAGTTGAATGCTATACTAAAGCTGTTCAAACTACACATTCATCTAATGAAAGAGACGGTATAGTTCACTTAAACTATTTTAATTTTAAATCAAATAAAAGTATAGATTTTAAAATTAATTATAAGCTAGAAATCAAGAAAAATGTGCTTGTTATTTTTTATTTAATTTTCTTAACATTATTCATTGATTTATTCTTAATATTACTATTGTCACTTATTATATTTCTTATTGTTACGCTACACTGGTTTCTGATGTATAAATTAAAGGATCCTACACTTCCTCCCTTCTTAAAGGTTATTTAGAAGATTGGTGGAGGCATAGAAAAGATTAAATTCACAATTTTCCAATAGTAGTCATCTAATTGTCTCATAGTCATCTAAGCACAATTTTAAAATCACTTTGTGGTTAATCCAGGTGGTATACCCTTATAAAAGTGTTATTAATACATTTATTTAACCATTGATGTTATGAAATATGAAAATAACACTATATATAAATACAATATTAATAAAACTAAAAGTAGTTTTATTATAATAAAAATGGTAAAAGTCATCACGAGGTATTGAACATTTTAGTGTATATCACTTGGAGATTATTTTTAATTAATTTTGTATTTTAATAGTTTTCTTGTATATTAATTTTTTTATTCATTTTTTTTTTAATTTGATGTGGGCAATATTGAAAATCATGGATCATTCTCATCAACAGCTCAAGCCTTTGGATATTACGGTAAGGTATTATTTAATATGATCATAGGAAATAATTTCTATAGATATGAATTTGTTAATTATGTTAATTCATAGAGCACATAAATATATAATCTATAATAATAGGTATTATGCATGGTATATGTGTTAAAATATTGTTATTTAATTTTTGTAGATCATAGATGTAATAAAATTGACTATGTTAATAGTTTAGTTAGCAAAAATGATTTGATAATATTTGATAATATCTCAATCAAATACAAGGGTAGTTTAATATTAAGTAATACTAATATTTTAAGTGTACAGTTATGAATATAAATGGGATATTATATAATAATTAATAATATATAAATATTTCAATAATATTAAATTACATCAAATTATTATATTAATAGTAATGAGAAAATAAAACTTTTTTCATTTATATTTATAATTAATTAACGCAACCATCCAATGTAAGTGGTCCATAAAATTTGCTAATATTTTCATTTAGTTAAATTGGTTATTCATAAATTTTAATTTTACATTAAATTGAATACTTAAATATTAACTTAAGTAATGATACTAAAGTCACTATACTTAGTGCTTACAATAATCAATTTATTACTACATTTTTATAACTATTACATTTATGCACTATTTTCTATTAGTTTTATACTTGCACTGTTTTTTGCTTCTTAAACACTTAAAATTGTATTTTGAAATATATTATTTTTGTATTTTATATATATATATATATATATACATAAATTAAATTTATTACATTATAGCAAAAAGAGTTAATTTATATTATAAAGCAGGGGTGTCCAACTTGCATGGCCTCAAGGACCAAAACATAAACCTCTGATCTGGTTGCGGGCCATATACTAATTTTATTAAAGTAACAACAAAATAATGAGAGGTATAAAAATAATTAAAACAAAAAAGTAGTATTATTTCTTTTATTGCTCAACATCTTAATTTTTTATAAATACAGAAAATGTAGACTCTACATTGTAGAGGTAGTTTTTTCAAGAACTAAGACAAACATTGTAATAATAATAAAAATATATCTAATGTGAAGACTGTGGTCGATCGGCTTCATCCACCAATGAAGAAATGTCCACTGCCAGTTCAGTTGTAGACAGTCTCATGAGATGACGTAAGGTAGAATCGGTAAGGTTGATTCTGTTGGGGTTTTTAATGTATTTCATGTAGGAAAAGGCACTTTTACATATATATGTGTTTTCGAACATTGATGTCATTTTCAGTCCAAAATCTCGCAGGTTTGGGAATTTCTCCTTAGACAGCAATTTAAAAAATTTGGGTCCCTTTTCTTGTCGGGTGATTAGAAACATGGCAGTTTGAAGGTCACATAACTCAAGTTGTAAGTCAGGTAGTTGATCTTCAATGGATGCTCCAAGAGGATTATTATAAAGCAGTACACTGCTTTTGAGACTTTCAATATCTTTAAATCGTGTATTGAATTCATTAATAACTTGTTGAATTTGTGAACTGCAGCATGAAAAGTCAATATTTTTCTCACTGTTGAGTTCTTCTGCTAGTTTCAGGCAGCTAGGGAAGTGTGTTAGGTTGTTCTTTTCCAAAGCATGTTTAAACACGTTTAGCTTATTCCAGAAGCCGTTTATTATTACGACCAAATCTGAAACCGTTTGGTTTCTTCCTTGAACACTCAAGTTTAAGCTGTTAAGGTGATTACTCAGATCTGTTATAAAAGCTAACTGTCTTAAGAATTCTGGATCCTGAAACTTATCTTCCAGTTCAGTTGTATCGGATGAAACGTGAAATGCAGGGATTTCCTTTCTTATGGAAAAAAATCATTCCATGCACTTTCCTGCACTCAGCCACCTTACATAATTGTACATTAGCAAGTCTCCATACTCAGCCTCTGTTTCCACTAAAAACTGCCTAAGTTGCCTGTGTAAAAGAGATCGATTTCCACCTCTAATCATATTTATAATTTTAATCACGGTCTGAAAAACTTGATCCGGCTTGACTGATTTTCCACATAAAGCTCCCTGATGTATAATACAATGTATTGTCGGACAAGTAACACCATTCTCTCGAAGCGGACCCACTAATCCAGTTTTTTTACCAGTCATTGATGGGGCCCCGTCTGTTGCTATGGCTGAACATTTATTAAAGCCTCCAATTCTGTCAACTGTTTTCTTCAAAGCCTCATAGACGTCTTTTCCTTTTGTTGTTCCATAAAGAGGACAAATATCAACAGCTGACTTACATCTGATTGATCAGTGCTTTCATCCAGACAGTGAGAAATACGAACTTTTTTTAACCAGGCTAAGCAGTTAGAGTAAGAGTTTTCTATTTGCTCACCCATAGCAACAACCCTTCTTTGTATGGTTTGATGTGAAAATTGCACGGATTCAAATTTCTCTGCCATTTTGGAATCTTCAAAAGCTTTGGCCATTTCAACGGCACATTTTTTAATTAAATTGGCATCAGTGAAAGGTTTTTTTGCCTTTGCCAGCTCAAGCGACACAGCATAAGATGCATGCAAAGAATGCGATTGAGAGCGCAATATTTTACCAAACATACCAGTTTGCTGTTTAAGCTTTTTCTTCAAATCTGCAACTAGCGCACGCCGACTTTCATTTGTATATGTAGCATACTTCTTTTCATGCATTGTTGTGTAGTGTCTTCTCACATTATATTCTTTAGGCACAGAAACAACATTCATGCACACTAAACACTGCAACTTTCCATTATTGTTAGTAATCAAGTAATCACTCTCCCAACTTTCTTTATAACTCCTGTTCTCACTGTCAATTTTACGTTTTACGCTCATAATTGTATTGAAGTTTAAGGAATCAAGACAAAAAATTAAATAATTAACTAAGATATGTAACAGACAACTCGTTGAAGCACACTGGCGCGTGGCGATTAACGGCGCGACGGACAATTGACAGTTTATTATGACTGATTTTCACATTTTTATTTAATTTGATATTTACTTCTAGATCTATTTTTTGTTAAATTCTGAGAAGAGTAAACATTTTTTATTGTTTTTAATAATATGATAAGTATAATTGTATAGTATGTTGATAGATAGTTTAGAATTTTGCTTAATGCATAGTTAAAATTATTAAAATTTTAAATCAATTTATTATAATATTAGGTATATATAATATATTATTATTATAATAATTAATTTATATGCAATAGTCTAAGGCATATGGTTAATTTTAAAAGGTTAAGCAGGAAAAGACTAAATTAGTATTTATTATAGTGAAATTATTAAAAAAAACAAATGACTAAAAATTGTGCTATAATTTAAATTGTATGAACAAATGTGTTTATTTTAAAATCTATTTCCTTGCTTTTACCTTTTATAAATTAAAAATACATATATACATATGTTTATTTTAAGTTACATTCATAAAAAGAAAATGCAAAATTTATGCCTCTTATAATTAACTACTTCACGGTGGTGTTTATGTTGTTTTGCTTGTTTTTGTTTTTTTTTCAAGACGAATACAACTTAAATCCTGCCTTGGAATGGGAAGACGAATTTACAGGTAGGTACATCAGCAAATGTTTTTAAGCTTTTTTACATTTTGAATTCATAGGTAAAAAAAACTAAAATCACAATAATTGTGAAAAAAAAATGTTTGAATATAAATTATTTATATTTGAAAGTTTTATTTTTTTTCCATGTGAATTAATTTGAAAATATTTTATTGATGGAGGTTGCGTTAATTTTATGTTATGCTTTGTAAAATATTCAATGGATGAAAATTGCTCTGGATGTTTGTATGTGGTGTAATAAGATTCAGAAATTCAATTTGTTGCTACATAAATAAACTAGTGGAAATATTATTATTAATATATTAATACAGTTTATCAATTGATTTAATTTTTTTTTTTTTTTTATTAAAATTTATAAGTATTTATTTTAATTTTTATTATAAATAATAATTTTCAATTTTTGTTATTCTGTTATCATAAATTTATTTTCTGGATCTAATTCAATTTAAGTTATCAATGATCACAATGGTTTTATAATATATATATATAAAACTAGCCTCTTGACTCATACAAACACATACTTAACCTTTTTTTTTTTTAAATATTTTATATTGATTATTGGTAGAATTACATTTTTAACACAATTAACATATTATTACGGACATACATAAATGTAGGTCCTTACGACTTTCTCTTCATAGGGGAGCACATAATAAGTATAGGACTTGCGTAAACAATATATAAAGGAATTACTAGCACGATTATAGGACCAGAAGATAACACACATATGCAAATGTGAGTTACACGGCGACACTTCAAAGTAATATTGAGACGGGAAATCTATTTAATAATAGAATTCAATTATGAAAGTGCACCACGGAATATGGAATATGTGCGAGATGCAATATTAGCGAGGTCAACCATTAAAGTTTTAAATTTGGAAATGTACGCATTTACCTCAGGGTGTTAACAATAATTGAAAATAACTTTTATATTATAAAACTAATGCCGCATAACTGATTCCCACAAGATCTGAGTATATGAAGCGGTCGCTAACAGACCAATAAACGGATGTATTTTAGTCCGGTAAATTTAAGCACCTTCACGCCGCTTAACTTAATATTTTAATTTCTACTTGGAATTATTTTATGAAATTATACTATTGAATTAAGAATTTATTAATAAAGTATATATTTAAAAGTCTTTAGTTCTTTAATTTATCACTATCGATAATTTAATTGAGAAGCTGTACGATTGTTTTTATTCCTCTTCTATTGCACTAGTCTGTACACTCAGACTGGTACGCAACAATATAAAATATTTTGAACATGTATTAAATATGTATACTCTAAGCATCTATTGCTAGCCATTCCTAAGTAATTAACAGACAGTTCTTACGTTTGATGATGTTTCTGGTCAAGCGGAAGATGAAGATATCAGCCTCACAAATTTGTTCACATTTCAAAACAAGCTACCTCCAGGTATCCTATCTCAAGGACTCCCACAGGTTAAAGAAGTTGCACCTGCTATTATTTCCTTGGAAAGAGAACTAATTTTTAAAGAAGAAACAAAAAAGAGTAAAAAATTAATGTACATGTCTGTAATACTGTAAAACTCATTATATTTTTGTATTTTTATTATTTAGTTAGAGAATTAAGTGATGCAGAAAAAATGACGATAATTCATTCTGAAGATTTTCAACAATTTATAGACCGTGCTGGACGTGTGATAGAACGAGCTTTATCTGAAAATGTAGATATCTATACAGATTATACTGGTGCTTTAGATGACAAAGATCTAAAGTTAGTATCAATTAAAATTTAAAAAGATAATGCAAGAGCTTGTGTTGTAATGTCTTAAACATTTTCAGTGAAGATAAAAGTAGTACTCGTTTATCATTGACACGCGTATTTTTTGATGAACATTGGTCAAAAAATCGCCTAGTTACATCCTTAGATTGGTCTCAACAATTTCCAGAACTTACTGTTGCATCTTATAATGTTTCTGATGCACCCCATGAACCAGATGGTGTAGTTCTTGTATGGAATACTAAATTCAAAAAGGATTCTCCTGAATATGTGTTTCATTGTCAATCAAAAGTACTCTCGACCACATTTGCTAGGTGAAACAATGTTTAACTAAATTATAATAGTTTTATTTACAAAAGAATATATTCATATATGTATGTGAAATATAGATTTCATCCAAATTTAATTTTGGGAAGTACTTATTCTGGTCAAATAGTTTTATGGGATAATCGAGTACAAAAGAAAACTCCTATTCAAAGAACCCCTTTATCAAATACTGTACATACTGTAAGTTAATATAAATAATAGGATATATTTTTATACTTTAACAAAAATAATTTTGAAGTTAAATTATACTCATACCATATAATATATATTTATATATTTTAGCACCCAGTGTACTGCATTCAAGTTGTGGGTACACAAAATGCACATAATGTCATAAGTATTTCAACTGATGGACGATTATGTTGCTGGAGTTTAGATATGTTAACCCAACCAATTGAACGTCTTGATTTAACTGATAAACAATCTAAACCTGTTTCAGTTTCTTCATTTGCTTTTTTGCTTGATGATGTTAACAAATTTGTGTTTGGTAGCCAAGAAGGATCTGCATATTCTGGTTGGTTGAAAATACATATTCTATATGAGTCACATCTTATAATTTAATGTATATTTAGCATGCAGGCATACAAAAAAAGCTGGAGTTGTTGAGAGTTATGAAAGTCACATTGGTCCAATTACAGCCATTGATACCCATTGTGTTGAAGGGAGCACTGATTTCAGTCATCTTTTTTTAACTAGCTCATTTGATTGGACTATTAAACTATGGAATATAAAGGTTTGATATTATTTTCTTTGAATTTAATTTATATGTTATACAATTTGAGATATTATTGAAGGAATCAAAGCCAATCCACTCATTTGAAAACAACAATGATTATGTAAGCAATGTTGCTTGGTCTCCTGTACATCCATCTGTATTTGCTGCTGTTGATATTACTGGCCATTTAGACTTATGGAATCTTAATAATAATACAGAATCACCTACTGCTAGTACAGTACTTGATAATTCATCATTGTTAAAAGGTCTTATGTGGTCACAGAATGGAACTCATTTAAGTGTTGGTGATGAGTATGGAAAAATATCTGTGTTTGAAGTTGGAGAGGTAAGTAATTGTTTTATTTTGTTTAAATTTTCCCCAACTAAAAGTTATTTATGATTTACTTAATATGTTAGCAAAATATATTTTTTTATTTTTTTACCTACTATTGTCTATTTTCTACTATAAAGTATTGTAATAAGATAATGCAGCTAAAGCAAAGGAACAATGGGTGACAAGACATGGGAATTTAATGACTAATTTAACCCAATTAACATTCAAATCTTTACCACCCTATGTTTTGAATGAATCATGAAAATTCATGGTAGTAATTTTTTTTAATTTTTTCTTTTTTGTATTCTCAATATAAGTTAAATATGTTTTAAAAATTAAAATAACGCCAGTTTTTTAATTTAATCTTCTCAAATTTTAAATAAATTTATATTTTATTTTAATAAAAATCATTAAATTTCTTAATAAATGAGATTAAATTATCAAATTTTTATTAAAATGTTTTCTTATAAAACTAAAAAGTTACTTTTCTATTGCAATTTTCTTATTTTATACCTTCAAACCCAACCACTGACTTATTACCTTTTAATTGTGTATGTTATATAAAATTATAATGTATTCATTATTCAATTCTATTTATATATCCTTGAATACAATTTCTATATTAAAATTTTAATTTTATATTTTAAATTTAGCAAATGACACAACCAAGACATGATGATTGGTCAAAGCTTTCAAACACATTACAAGAATTCAAAAGTAATCAGGCAGATGAGATGGACAAACCGAATAACTTCAGTTCAGGATCAGTGTTCTCTAGATCTTCTAGTATTTTGATGAAATAAATAAGTTCTTAAATAGTATTTAAGATATATCTTGTAAAGTTTATATATATATATATATATTTAGAAATTGCCTTTATATTTTTATAATAAAATAAATTATTATTTTATTTATTTGCATTATATAAAAAAATCTTGTAAAATATTATTTATAAATTAACTTAAATTTATATATTTATCTTGTTTTCAATATAATTCATTTTTGTGATAGCTGAAATAAAATATGAATGATATAAAATATTTTTAATCATATTGTTGCAAATAATTAATAATTTGAAATAAATTTTTATTTGGTTGTAAAATATTATAAAAAAAATACATTATTTTATTAACAATAATAAATAATATTAAAAAAAGCAGGAAATCAAAGTTTTAATGTTGGAGCAGTTCTTTTGGTCGAAATCCTGTACAAAGATAAAAATGGCATATACAGGGAGGGGTTTAGGGTTAAGGTTTTTTTTTTAAATTAGGTAGTTTTTTTTTAAATAGGTAAATATTTGTATATTTTAACTTTTATAATCAGTGTTGTAAAATTATAAGGTACTGGTATAATTGACCCGCGCCAGGAAGGCAATTCCCCCGCCATTTACCAACCTATCTCTCGTATTTTTGATGTTATAAAATGTATAATATACTGATATACTGCAGAGTGCAGATAAAAAAGGTACGAATCATATACGGTAGTTATTTGTGTAAAATAGATAAAAATTAATTATAGATTAAAATAGATATTTTAAGAATTATATTTGGTAAAATCCGTGTACTGAAATGAATTATATAAGATAGGTATAACAGCGCGTGCTATATATAATATTATGATGTACCTACCTCCGTCATCTGAACAAAAATAAAATTAATTTCCGACAAATTTATAGTGACGTGCATGATGTTTCATCGGCAATAATTTTTTTGCAAAACCAAAATATTATCCATAAGACTAGGACTTGTGACAGTGAACACGAGATGGTTTAGGATACAGAAAGGGGTTGGATATATTTTAGGCTTTAATTCATATACCTTATAGATCTACTTACCTGGAATCTAAATACTTTAAAAACAGATGAATTAAAAACTTAAAATTTTACCATTTTTCAATTCTATTTCTATTTCTACTATATTATATTCATAATGTGCACCTACATTAGAAATTATTAAAAACAAAATGTTTTAATTTTTCTTCATAATTTAACCATTGCATAAGTAGTATGTTCAATTTACCTATTAGAGAGCAAAAGTTGTTTTTTTCTTTTAGGCAACAGTTCAACATTTGTTTGCTCCCTAAGAGTGCTTGTAGATTCTTTTTGGCGTCTATCCCCTCATATTCTTACACACAAATTTAAAATAACTATATAATTATAAGTACCCAGATCCCTAATCGCACTTAAATTTTTATTATTTATAGGATCTTCCTTATAATTAGTATAATTTGAATATTTATCAGGCATATTTGATTTATCATCATTCTCTTCATCATTTTGATGATGTAAAGTTTCTCTATTTAAAATAGTAAAATGCTTTCTTTTTAGGTGACCCAATAAATTAGTTGTGCCATTAGATCTTTTATAGTTATTTTTACAATTAGTGCAAATAGCCAGGTCTGAGTTATTTGCATCCTTTTTAAAATGCTTCCAAACGATAGAACAATTTTTTTTGGGAAGTAGCATTATGAATTAAACATGTATATAAATAATAAAATAATAAAAAATATATTAATATTTTATATTATACATATTTATATTAATAATAACCTAATATTAAACCATACAGTGAAATAGATCCGGAAATAGACGAATCAAAAAACAAGCATTAATACTAATTAAGTATTACTCAGATACGATAACGGTCGATTGTTTCGAGTCAATAGCCATTTGTTTTGATGTTCATTAGTCGATTGTTTCGATAGTCAATAATTTTGATAGTCGATTGTTTCGATATTCGATTGTTTAGATAGTACGAAAACAATCGAGTTAATCGGTTAAACAACCGAGTGAATAGATAGTTTAAACTACCGAATAGTTCGATAGTTTTCACTCGGTAGTGCCCATCACTATTTTGAACGTCACACCGCATTGTGACCAGCAATCGTAACAGGCAGACGTATCCCGCGTTGCCACTCGTTCATTGGCTGAAAGACATCAATTGGTCACCGCTCTTCGGCCGCGTGATACATTTGTCAGACGCGTCAACGATCATCCGAATGACGTGCGCTGGCTCTGCGATGTCGCCGGACAAAACTTCGTCGCCACCTCGGCCAGCTCGGGGAATCGATTCCAGGCGGGCGCGAGACCACGGCACGACGTCGTAAGGGAGGTCCCTTCGTGGACATTGTAGTCTTCCCTTCGGCGCATCGCGATGCAGGACCCGGACGACCGATTGAGGTTTCACCTTCGGTGTGGCACGTTAGTGAAATTGTCGACGAACAACAGGTCGGCCAAGCGGCTGCGTGCCTACGACGAGTTCAACAACGGAGTGGTCATGACGAATCGAAACCTGTTTGACGACGAACTATTTGAGGTAGCTGGCTGTGCGACAAGCGCATTTTTGGGGGCACTGTGTGCTTTGAATGTTCTTTCATGATTGTTTTTCCTCTCTCAGATTCGTATCGATAAATTAGTAGACAAGTGGAGTGGTAGCATTGAGGTAGGCGTTACAATCCACGATCCAGGGGCCATACCCATACCTTCAACAATGACAAATATGAGAACCGGCACTTCTATGATGTCTGGACGCGGTATATTGGCCAATGGCAAAGGCATTCGAAGAGAATATGGTAATTTCAATTTGGACGATTTGAAGGTACATATTCATTATTCAAGTGTTTCTGATTTTAGTTCTTAAGGCATATAATCGTTTTAGGTTGGTGATCGTATTGGCTTAATGCGAAAGCGAAACGGTGACTTGCATTATTACATCAATGGTCTTGATCAAGGAGTAGCGGTTTCTAATTTACCCTCAAAAGTGTGGGGTGTTGTTGATATGTATGGAAGGACAGTTAAAGTTACTATTGTTGATCGCGATGTCAACGAAGAAAAAAATTTGCTTACAAGACTAAGCAATTCGTTAACCGTATCTAATGAAAATCAATGTAAGTTTGAGAAATAGATTTTACGTGCTAACAAATTTCCTGTAACTATTGGTTTTATTCACATTGTATTTTCAATGAAAAAGATCTGTTGTCTATAATAGCACTATAGAAGATGGTTAGTACATACATTTTAAAACATTTGCTCATTGAAAAATTTGACTTTTTACCCTTGTTTTTTTTAACAAAATATTACATTTTAGTGAAATAAATTTATAAAAAAAAGGTTCTGTAATTGCTCACAGACATTAATTTAATAACTCAGGGAATATGTTATCTGGCATTAAATATACAATTATCGTGTTTTAGTGATCAATGAAGATTTACTTGAGTTTCATCCCATGTGTGGTGCACATACTCTAGTTATTAACAATAATACAGTTGCTTATAGACCAAAGTAATAAAAATATACCATATACTGCTTAAGATAATTCTTTACATAATTTAATTTTAATTTTAGTGCATTAGATGATTTTAATAACGGTGTTGTATTAACCAAGCGTCCTCTACATCCAAATGAATTATTTGAAGTACGTTTGGATCGTTTGGTTACCAAATGGGCTGGTTCAATAGAAATTGGAGTTACAACACATCGTCCTGGAGATATTGATTATCCTTTAACTATGACAAATGTACATTCTGGTACTTGGATGATGACTGGTGTAGGGATTATGCATAATGGCATTACAGTGGTCAATCAGTATGGAGTCAATTTAGATACTTTAAGGGTAGGAGACCGTGTTGGTGCTATGGTTAAATCAAATGGTTCTTTACATTTTTATGTAAATGGGTTGGACCAAGGAGAGGCAGCTAAAAATGTTCCGATAGGTGTTTATGGTGTTGTTGATTTATATGGACAGGCTGCACAAATTACCATATGTCGTGATAATGTTGATCAAATTTCTCCATACAAGTGATTACTTTTCTGACTATTGTATATATAAATTTTTTTAATTGTTTGTTTTTTTATAATAAAGAAATAATGTAAGGTTTTTCCCTAATCATGGGAAAAATGCACGTATTGTTCCTGGTTCACGTGGCCGTACAGCTGACAGGTTGTACTGTGAATATGAATTTAGTCAATCAATTGTTTTAGTTAATCAGACATTGCAAGATGGTGAACTATTTGCTGTCAGTGTAGATAAGCTTAATGATCGATGGTCAGGTTCAATAGAAGTTGGTATGTTTTTTTTATTGTTTATTTTTATCAATTGTAATATAAATTATAGAAAATTATAATTATTAGAAAATTTTGTCTAGGTGTTACTACAATTCCACCAAATATTTTGTCTACTGATCTACCAAACACCATGACAGATTTAGATCATGATACCTGGGTTTTATCTGGATGCACAGCGATGAAAGATGGACTTGCAATTAAATACAATTATTCATTGGATTTAGATAAAGTCAAAGTAGGTTCTGTGGTTGGTGTAATGAGACATAGCAATGGATGTCTACATTATTTTTTGGATGGTAATGATCAAGGAATAGCTTGTACAAACGTACCTCCAAATTTATACCCTGTAATTGATATATATGGTCGATGTACTCAAGTTACTATTCAAAGTCCACCAGAAATTAGATGTGATGATAGTGATTCAGATACAAGTTGCTGTTCACATGATGATGTAATATCTGTCCAAACTGAAACTGGAGTCAAAAAGCAAAAGTAAGACTAATTCAATTGTATAATGATTAAATTTTAATGTTTTTTTTTCATTTCTAGAGATATTAATTTATCTAATTACATTTATGGAGAAAATATAAAACTATTTGATGATAATAGAACAGCTACTCGAGTAAAATCTTTTAAAGAGGGCCTTTTAATATGTGACAATAAGATGCAACCAAATGAATTATTTCAAATATTAATAGTAAAATGTAATACAAATTATGCAGGGGGTTTGCGAATTGGTGTTGTTAGTTGTTTGCCAGAAACTCCATTGCCATCAAACATCAAACATTTGAATAAAAACAAAGATGTATGGTATTTTTCAGGTATATAATTTCATTGTATTGTTATATTTTCAAAAAATTTAATTGTTAAAATAATTCTAGGCAATCAAGTGTGGTACAACCAATCAGTGATTATGAATAACTATTGTCCCAGTTTGGATAGATTGAGAGAAGGTGATAGGGTAGGGATTAAGTATACAGGAGATAAAACATTACATTTATTTGTAAATGGCTATGATCAAGGAATTGCGATGTATAATATACCTGAGGTAATGATTATTTAGGTTTTTTAAAAATACATTTTTTCTACTATAATGTGTATATTTACCATTGTTATCAGTATGGAATAAATTTAATTTGAAAAATAATTTTATTAAATTGAAACTTATATATTTTTTAGAAACACCTGATTTTATTTAAAAAAAATTTAAATTACTCTAAATTCGTTCCAAAAATTATACAACTTGCTACTTTAAATTAATATACTATCTTAATTATAATTGAAATGAAAATAAATTTGTGGTTTTAAACAAATTTTATGAAAAAAACTGATATAGTAATGATAGACAGAGGTTCACCATATTGTCATTTATAGTATAATATACATAGGCTTGTTCAGACTGGTGGCCATGGGGGCACAATACATTTTTAATCATGATACTTTTTTTTTTTAGATATTTATAATAAAAATACATATAAAACTCAAATAAAAACACGTAAATTTTATTACTGTACTGTACTGAGACTATCAGTAGGTAATGAGCAGTGGTACATACAGGATTTTTTTTCGAGGGGGGGGGTCAAGGGGTAAAAATATAATACATTTTACAATTAACAAAATTATGCAAATCCTTAATATATTTTGACTTAAATAATAGCATTGATAATAGAATTGATTATTTTATAATCAATGATACTAGGTATTCAATATTAGCTCTTTATGTTTCAAACTTATAAAATTTGTAAATTTTAACCTAGACATTGGAGAAAATTTGGCGGGGGGGTTACAACCCCTTATACCCCCCCTGCGTTTGCCACTGTTAATGAGTACAGATCATATGACTTTTTTTTATCCTGATATGATTTTGTTGAAGGCATATTCCACCAGGGGGCCAGTGCCTACACGGTCCATCCCATGTAACCTAACCTATGATAATATATTAAATATTATAATCAAATAACAGTTTAAATTTTATGAAATTTTTTAGACTGTTTATAGCGTAGTTGATTTATATGGTTGTCATATTTCGGCTAAAGTAATACATACTGATCAAGATACCAAGACAAATGTACAGATGACTTCATCACAATGTAGTGAAAATACATCTGATTTATCTGAATCAGTAAAAGTGTAAGAATTAAATAATTCTATAAAAATTTAATCTGATTACTGTATAATTTTGTAAATTTATTATAGTGATACTACAATTAATGTTCTGAAAAGAATGACTGTATTAGATGAAGATATGAGTGAATGTTGTTCATCAGAAATCAGTTATTTTATAGACGAAGTAAAAATTTATTGATAAAATTATATTTTACATAATATTTAAATCATATTTGTTTTACAGTCTACATATAAGTTAATGAGATTTAATGATTGGAAAGGTTATAATATACGCTTATCTAGAGATGGCCGTACTGCAACCAGAACAGAATCCTACAATCATGGATTGATAATGACTTCAGATATATTACTGCCCAACATTTTATTTCAAGTTTGTAGAAACATTGGAAATTTAAAATAATTTGTAATAATTTTGGATTATTATTGGTCGGTAGGTTGAAATCCAATCATTAAATAAAAAATGGGAATCGTCAATAATGATTGGTGTGTCCAAGGTTACCTGTACAAATAATGCAGCACCAGCAACAGCATTGTCTTTAAAAGGATATAATAATTCATGGATAATTTTTGGTGATTCTGTGTATTATGATGGCCTTAAGGTAAATATTTCTTTTCAATATGATTAATTTTGTTGAACTAAGTTCTTGTATTTTTAGATTAAAAGTAATTACGGTCCAGATTTAAATTATTGCTTGCCAGGTGATATAATTGGAATTATGATTGATGGGGAAAATCAATTAAAATTGTTTGTTAACCGTATTGATTATGGAATTGCTGCAGTTAATATGCCAGCTGATTGTTATGGTATTATCGATTTATATGGCCAGTGTGAACAAGTATACACATAGATTATTAATTAAATTTGATTTTCAAATATGCATTCACTAATTTATTTGTATTTCTAGGTTTCAATTGTAAATCCTTTTATTGACTTGTCACCTATTGATCCTGTTCCAAATATGCCTTTAGAATGTGAATTATTACCAGAAGATGGTAGCCAACCAATCCCATCTGAAGAGAAAGCTGACCTAGAAGGTGATGAAAAACAGAGTCCAGCATGTGAAGAAACAGAATTAGCTGATTTAGCTTGGATGAAAACTGATAAAACCAACGAAAATGTTTTGGTTGCTAGTGGTCATGATGTTAGATCACGTTCAGCTGAACTTACTGGATGGATAGATGATGAAGCAAGTACATCTACGCTGAGGATGTCAAAAATTCGTGCTGGAAAAACTTCTAGTTATTACACTCCTGATACTAGAGAAAGTAGACAAAATGAAATTTTAAAGGCTCTTCGTCTTAAACAATGTCAATATTTTAATCTATCATTAAAAATCAGAGCCCATCTTAGTATTCCGGGTAAATATTCAATCTGAATTGGTTTTAACCCGTAACTGGTATGGTGTGGTCTATGAGACTGGTTAGTTTCTTTACTTAATTTTGGACCACTTATTTCAATTATACTATCATATATTTGCAAAAATATTATCATTTTTGTGTCAACTTTCATTAGACGATAATTTTTCGATTCAATTTTAATTTTTTTAAGGAAATAAATTAATTAATGTTTTGAAAATTTTTAAAAATGTATCATATAATTTTCTGCTTGAGTTTTGATTAGCCCTAAAGCATTTTAAAATAAATTTTCAACTTTAAAAATGTCTTAATATTGTAGTAGACATAATTTGAAGCAGAATAAAAAAAAAAAATTGACAAAAAATTTTCAATTTTTAAATAAAAATTATTGAAGTCAAAATAGCTCTTTTCTTGGGTATGTACTAAAAGAAACGAATGAAAAGTCATATATAAAACTTGATTTTTTTTTTTTATATATATATTTGCTTATTATCAACTTGAATAAAATATAATAGCTTTATCTATTTTATAATAAATAACCAAAAAAAAAAAAAAATTAATTGTACGAGATTTATTTGAATTTTTTAGAATAAAAATAATAACATTAGTGGTATGGTGCGGTCTAATATACCGCTTATTAAATTTAAACAGCTATGATGACCAAAATCTAATACATTAACCTCCATAACCATGGTTATTATTTCAATATTTCAATGCTATCTCTATAGAAAAGTACAATCTACATCCGTGATCATATCAACAATACCTTATCACCTAAATAAAAACTAAAAACAGCAGCGGTCTGTGAGACCGCGCTATACTAGTTACGGGTTGAGTAAATTTATTTTCAACTAATTAATTAAACTAACTAACTAATTCAAATAATTGTTTTTTTCAGATGAATTTTTTTTAAGTAAAGGTCATACATGTTACTGTGATGGATGTAACTTGTATACATTTGATGAAAATAAATTATCGATTGAAACTGGTTGGTGCAAATTTTTACTTTGTCAACATCCAAAATACAATAATTTATCACTAGATAAATGGCGATCAGCTTATGTAGGGAGATCATTTGACATGATTCGTAATTGTTTGGATAATGGAACTTTAACTCACCAAGGTAGAATAAGTTTTTTTTTAAAAAAATTTCAACTTTTATATTTTATCACTATTATTATTTTACAATTATAAATTATGTGACAGATACTGAACCAGAAAACATTATACTTTATCCATATTTAAAGCGTACAGTATGTTGTCAAAACATAAAATATTTTGTGTAAGTAAATTATTTTAAATAAATGCATAGTAAGATTAAACATTATATGCACAAGTTAATATTATTTTGTTTATCAGATATTATGATCCAGAAACTAGTTATCAGTATAAATGTCATGCAGCTTTTGAATTGATGATTGAACCAGGTTCATTTGAAATTGGCGATTTATTGCCAAAGTCTAGCAGAACAGATTGCCATCAAATTTCATCATTAGTAATTCCAAAGTTAGGTACAAAAACTGTACTCACTGCTCTTTACTTTAGATTTGATAGAGATATAAATTAAACTAAAGGAGAGATTATTTTAAAAATTTAAAAGACATTGATCTCACTATTTTTGTTATTTTTTTAATATTATTTTTAATTTTGATGAAAAATTATAATTAAAATATTTATGACATCACTTTATAATGTCTTGTAACATCCTCATTAAAAATGTTGTCTTGTTTAACACTAACAAACTTTGATATTTGTGTACCTTTTGTATAGAATGTATATGGCAAATTAATGTTACCAAGGTTAAACTGATTAACATATTTTAATAGATTTGGTGCAACAGGAGTAATTACAAATATATCACCTGTTGATTTATTTATGTTACGAACAACACCTAAAAATAAAAATAATTTACAATGTTGTAAAAAAAATAAATAAAATAAATACGTACCAAATCCAACACATTCATTTAAATTTATATTATTAGAAATACATAAAGCTATCACATTAGCATTTATTACTTCTAAAGATTCATCTTGTGTTAATACTTCATCAATATTATTTATTTGAACTTTAATATTTTGAATGTTTATTCTATAAATAAAAACAAAATAAAATAATTAATGAATAATAGTACTATGTAAATTTATAATAAGAAAACATACTTATATGGGACAACATCATTGAAATATATGTCTGTACTTTCCAAGCATTTACTCAAGTATGATGTAATTATCAGTTCTTGTCTAAGTTTTTTATCAAATTTTCTATAAATATATATTGATTAAATATAGTTAAAAATCATTAATTATAATAATTTTCCGCTTACGGTAAATAAGGAGCTTTGGCTAATTTATTTTTAACAATTGATGTAAAATACCAAAGATCGTAAGACAATGCAGATTTTGTTTTTTCATTAATATTTTCTGAATGCAAATTTAATTCTTGTTTTTCGTTAAACTTCATCTGTATTACATCTGATGGTTTTATTATAGATATAAGTATAGATAAAATTTCAAGGCCTGGACCTAAATTTAAAATAAAAAAATATTTATTTTGTTTTTTATACTATACATTTAATTTTAGACCATTACCTTCAACAAAACCCATAGTGTTTATAAAACATGGCATTTGATGTGAGTCAAGAGCTTTTAAATCATTTACTATTTTTTTAACAATTTCATAGTAAAAAGGAACATTTGTCATTACATCATTGCTCTCAAAAAAATATGATCTACAAGTATGTAAAACTTAATATTTTTTCAACTATTTGGTTATAGCTTAAATTACTCATTACTTGAAAGGCTGTTTTAAATGTGTAAAATTTGGTCCAAGCAATGGAGTGTCAATAATAAATGCAGAAATACATCTAGGTATAAACAATTCACTTTGACCAATATCTAAGTCCAACACTAATATTTTGTCCCACTTTCTTAAGCATTTATTTATAAGATAGCGCATCATTGTTGATTTTCCAGAATTTTTGAATCCAGCCAATAAAATTTTAATTGGTTCTATAATCAAATACATTAATATACAATGTTATAAAAGTGGTAAAATAATTAGTAGAAACTCACGGTTAATAGGACGGTCAAGGAGTTCATCACTAAAACCTTGCCATTGTTCATCAGTAATTAATCTTTGGTGTGACATTGGTAGCTTGCTCAAGTCAAACCAACAACCCAATTGATCTTCTAGTTCCAGTAAAAGCTTTGGTGGAGTTAACCTTGTCCCGATCACATCAAATATATTAAAGTCTGAAGATACGATCGCTTTTTAATAAAATCTTAAAATATAAAACAGTAATTCAACCTACTGGGTATATATTCATTCATGAATGTTTTCCATTTGCTAGTATGGGCACTCTTCTCAATTACAACAATTGCTTTTTGTCCATCCGCAGATGAAATTGAAATCAATCCCAGTAATCCTGAAGAATATATGGTAATTGGTGGAGAATCTGCTTTCATGGTAAAACCCCATAGTTCAATTGTGCCTTCAACGACTCTGACATCAACTACACCGATGATGTGCAAAACGTCTTCACCGTTAAACTCGAGTAACACTTGATCGGATCCGTTAGATTTATAAAACAATGGTAAGGTATCGGGTAATTGAAATATTTCTTTCATTGTTATAAATTGTCAACTTATTATTTCACAAAAAATTACAAATATTGAAATTTGTATAAACTCATGTCGGTTGATTTTTATTTCCGATCAAAATATTGTGGGGGGATAAAATCATGGAACAAATGCAATCATACAAACAGTGATAACCGGATAAACCCTCGTGCATTCGTTTGATAGCGATTGGTTGTTTGTTTCGAATAAACCAATTTTGAAATACCTACTATAAAATTGTACATATATTCGTGGTCCGTGTGATTTCGCAGTATTTTCAATTCGTATTCCATCAATTTGAATTCTTTATTTTTTTGATACTTATTGTGCACAAGTTACATTTTGAAATCATGGACAATTTAGGTAACGAAGTTATTATAAAAGTTAAGGTAAGTGTTTTTTGTTTACAAATTCAACTTTATCGGACTTGGCGAATTTCCTGGTATTTATATTATCATAATTATTGATTTTACACTGTAAATTCTAAACATTAGTGTCGAAAGATTTGTATTAAGTATTTCAAAATTAAATGAATTAACTAGTTCTTAGCTCGATGCTTCAAGTGAATAATAAGTGTGCAATCAAATTACATTATTTTTAAATAGTTCTTTTATCAATGATAGTAATAGCTAACAATTATATGTTTTAACTTTTAATACAATAAACTTTGAAATCTTTTGAAATAGGTTCAATGTATTAAATATATTTAATTACAATTAAATTACTTGTATGTTATATTACAGGAAGCCATCCGAGAAAAACTTAAAGAAATGAATGCAAATAGCAGTAAGTAAATATGTTTAAATATATTCAGTGAAAATTGACTCAGGATGTACACACATTGGTGTAAATATTCTGTGATTGGAAATACCTATTTTTTCTTGGTTGCAGTGTTAGAAACACAATACTACAATTTTTTGTTTTAAATAAATTTTATTTTTATAAGCAGATATATATATATATATATATATATATATATATAAATAGTTTGCTTATCCTGCTTTAATTCTTGAATTTTCCTTAGGGTTTATAATTATAACTTAAAATTAAAAAAAAAAAAATGTATTGTTGTAATTAATATAAAAATAATCAAATTAATTTTTAAATATGTTGGGGTAGTGGTAGCAAATTACATTTAAAGTAATGATTTTTAACCAATAGTCATATTCCATTTTAGACAAGTTTCTAACTTATCCAGTTAAATGTTCATAATCCATTTTTTAATATCATTATATTACATTTTTCATATAATACAATTTTCTCTAATATTAGTTCATGTCTTTGATAGGTTCTACTGTAGAATACCATATTTTGTTGCAAGATAAAAAAATAACATAATAAGTAATAATTACACAATTATAAAACCTCTATAAAGAAATTCATACTACTGTTTTTTTATAAGTATAAATTTATTCTATTTTTTGAATAATTGTATTTTTATGTTTTAGGTGATGAGATAATAGATTATATTATGCTATTAGTTACAACTAAGAAATCCAGTGCAGAGCTCGCTAAAAGTATTGATTTTGTAATGGAAAATAATACCAATATTTTTGTGAAATGGTTGTCAACTATAATTAAAAAACTGCAACAAGTTACCGTGTCAACAACAGAAAAAAATGTACCTGGTAATTAAAAAAAATTGAAAAATATTATTTTAATATTATTAATTTATATTGTATAATACCAAATTAAAATTTACATTGAAAGTTTAATTAATATAAATGCATAATTAATATACAATAACAATAAATGCATTTAAAATTTATTATTCTACAATATATTAAGAATAATTTTGTAATATGATTGTAAATGGTAAACCTACTGATTTATTTGAGTTTGTGTATTATTGTAATATTTTTCAACTTAGAACTAAAATCCTATAACTCATATAAATACTATTTTGTCGCGTCCCGCGTAGTCATACATGAACACTTACACAATAAGGGGTTCCTGTGAATGCATCTACAGATAGTTACACATAATCTATTAGCAACTATTTAGATAATCAGAACTACAAAAACCACAACCGTGGACAGATTATTAAATTATTATTAAATTTTATTATTTTATTAAAATAAGTAATAACAGCGACGGTGACCACATCTTGGATCTGTGCATCACTAATTACGGGCCGGTTGAGAGATAATTCACAGAATTCACAGGAAATTATCTTATTTTAATTATTTTATTATCAGTTTTCATTTACACACACACACTTGGGATTTACATACACACATGCAGATACCAGATATAAAAGGGACCCGAAAACAAGGGCAAATCAGACGAGTTTTGGCTATGCTGCACTGAGCACCTTCACGTCAGTGTATGTTATGGTCTGGACTTGGAAATATTTCAAACTATTTTTATAAGTTACAATTGTTAGGACTTAGATAATTTCTACTTAGAATATTTACAAAATTGTAGTTAGGATAATTTTATGAGTCAAATAAATTTAATTATTTTAAAAAGTCTTAATTATTCCTGACTACACTTCCAATCAAGCGTTGACTGAGACGTTGAAACTGAATCATCAGATCGATCGGTTGGCACGTAACAATTTTTTATGTTTGAATTCTATATTATGTTTAAAATCATCTATAGTAAGAAATCATATTATTGTATTTAATTTATCAATAATTAACCATCATTTTTAGTATTTAAAATAAAATAAAAATTATTATAAAAAAAAAAAAAAAGATTATAATATAAATTGCAAATTAGCAATATTGTTGAGTATTAATTCTACAGCTAAAATATATATATATATAAACTACATAGCACCAAGATCTGGTAATAGGATTTTAATTAGAAATATAACTAAAATAGATTTAAAATATTAAAACAACTAAAAAATGAATGATATGAAATAGTTGTATTAATTAAAAATATACTAGGAATGTATAATTTTCATGTATTTAATATGTTAATAGACATTATTTTATAGATGGTTTATTAAGATTTATCTATTCATGTATCATAAAATGAAATAACTTATTAATTAGTTTTTCAAAGTTATATTATCAGTTAATATTCTTTACTTCTGTCCAAAACTTGTTTTTGAAATTAATTTTGTCTAAAAATCACTGATGTAAAAGAGTGGCCTTAACTTCTGCAAAATTTAAAATAAAATATACCGATTTGTGTTTAAATTATTTTGCCAAATTGATTTGTATTCAAAGATTTATATAATAAATTTGATAAAACAATATTTATATTTTACAGAAAATGTATCCAAAGACAATAAAACAGCTAATAAAAAATATCAAAGCGATGATATTTTAATTTGTGAAACTAATGATGTAAAGTTGGATGATTCTAATAAAGAAAAAGAATTAATGTTCAATTTAAATATTGAAAATCGGAGCATAAAAACATCTGATGAAGAAAGTATGATTTACATTATATCTTTATTGTATACGTAAATAAATAAATTTTAATACATAAAATATATTTAATGATGTATAAACTTTAAACTAAATTTAAATATTCACAAAAGTAATTATGAAATTAAAAAAAAATCATTTCAACTAAAAATAATGTTGAGCATATTTTAGTTGGTGACAAGTTCAATTAAAGATTTATAATTTTCAAATGTTTATTTTCTATACAATACTTAATGATTTTTTATTATTGAAGTATATTACATAAAAATTATTAAATATAAATTCTAATTTTTATATTTTATTCTAATCATATGTTGATGTAATTATTTTTGTCATCACAAATTTAATAGTTAAAATTTTAAAAGTTTAAAAAAGAGTGTAAGAAACATTTACATTTTTATAGAAATCTGAAAGCAACATTATTGTCTATTATTTTAAATTTGTAGGTTTTGGAAATGTCTTTGTGTTAAATTAATATATTTTAGACATATTTTTACCTAAAAATATATAATTGTAAAAAAATAGCTTTATTCAGTTTTAAGTTAAGAGTAATATTTATTTTGATTTAAATAAATTGTTTTATTTTCTTCATGTTTTTAAAAAACATTTCAGAGAAAGAAAAGTCTTTTGAATTATGTGAACTGGAAAAGTATGATGAAAACAAAATATCCTCTCCAGTCAAATCAAATGAAATAAGACCAAGAATATGTTTTTCTCCTGAAAAAATAATAAAAACCAAAAATAACATATGTTTAAATTATAACAATTCTTGTTATAAATCTTTACATGTAATGAAAAATACTTCTATAAAAAGCAATTCAAATATTTTAAACATTGGTGATGTTCCAAACAAAAATAACACTGATGGTAATATTAAAAGGGATGTTAAAAAGAAAAGACCTCGAATATCAATAAACAGTGATGATGAAGATGAAAAAAATATTAGTATTAAAAATCCAATTACAATTAAAGAACCAGCTAAACAAATTACAAAAGGATTGCTAAAGAAAAATAATAAAATATCTATGTCTCAAATTATAGTTGTTAAACCACCGGAATCTAAAGTAAGTTTTTAGTTCTGTAATTTTTAATTTTATACTATGGAAGCAATTGATATCACTATATCTTTAGATGTTTGCATAATTTTAACAGTTTAGATTAGATTAGAGAGTTATAACTTTATAACACTGTAAGTCAATTTATAAACAAAAGTTAAAATGTGAAAGACATTTAGATATAATTTACATAGGCTTACCTATGTTGTAACCTTATAGTTACTTTGAAATATTTTACATTTTATAAATAGGTATTATATATTATAAACTTTTAATAAATATAATATATTCAATAAGAGATGAAATAATCTGTAAAAGATTGAAATATTGATAAATATCTAAATTATAATAATCATTATTAAATCAAAATAATTATAACAAATAAACAAATAACCTACACGCGTAAAACTAATAATAAATTAGTTATGTTAGGTTCTTAAGCATTTGCATAGTTCACAGAAAGAGTGTAAATGCAATACAGAGCTTATTTAATTTAATTATATTTAATTTTCTTTAGTATTTATAAAATTACCAGTATTTTATATATGCTTATTTTAATTATTTTAATGTTAAGAGATATTACCTTTAATACTGCTTTATAACAAACATTTGTTTAATCTGAAATCATGACTATAATACCTAAATTTTTTTGTCTTAATTAATTCTTAATAATTATTCCTATTAATTTTATTTATATTTATATGTAGAATGATATTGGTAAGATCAAAGAGAAGCTATTAATGCATGATTTAATTGTACAGCGTATAGATCATCAGCGAGGTGCTCTAGCTTTAGATACTGCTTTTAAGTATATTCAACAACAAATCGGAGCGTCAGATAAAGAAATTACAGTTATAAAAAAATGGAGAGATTATGCTGTCGAAATGTTACGTCATAGCGAAAAAGCTTAAAGATGTACTAATAATAGTTATTCAAAATTTTATTCTAATAAACATTTTTAGGTTTTTTTTTTTTAAGAAAATATTAAAATATTAAGTGATAGTATTCCATTTATGCTTATATATTTTAAGTATAAATAAAGATAATTATATTTATATTATTGTAAATAAAAAAAAAGCAGCAAGAACTATAATCAACTGTGCATTTATCTTGTTAAATACTTAATAACTTATTTTAATAGTTTATTGTATTTTTAGCGTCGGAAAGTAAATAAGTACCCTTTTTATATGTGTTTATATATATTAGATTCAAAATTTAACTAATCAGTATTAATATTTATATATATTTATATACTTGTACACATAATCACTTGCTTGATATTTTAAGAGACTGAATTATAGAAATAATATTTTACTTTTACATCAATTTTAATCTAAGTGCATTCATGTTAACATCTAGTTTTGCATTTTATAATTGCTCATAGTTTATTTATAATTGGTGTTACTTGAATATGAATTGAAAAATCAAAACCAAAACACCAAGGTTATAATAAGTAATCATTATTTATGCTAACCTATCTAACTCTCTTCTGATTAATATTGATACTTGGCAAATTGATGTAATTCTATAGTTAAAATACATATGCTTTGTATATTTTGTAATCCAAAATATTGATTTGCACCAAGTATATTTTATTGCTAAGGTTACTGTGTAATATAAATATTTAATCAAAGAATAAAACTGTAATTTAATGACTTATTTAAGTGATATTTTGAGCATATAATTTAAGTGACATTGTATCATTTTTATTTGTGCAGTTAAAATATTTTTTTTTTTAAACAGTAATAAATTATTTGAAGTCTATTGATTGACAGGAAGCGTAGTACTACATTTCCACTTGTATGTATATTATGTTTAAAATTAGAAAAGTAAACGCATTCGAACTCTTAATAACTCTAGGCTGTCTGTACACAAGGCGATTTCCTATCAAAGTGAACGGGGATCCACCAACGACGCGATTTGATTACAACGCGAATGCGATGCGAGCAACGAACGACACACGCGTACGGTAGTGCAGGTCGCTTGGCAGTAACCCTCGAACGGATCGCACATAAAATAATATTTTTATATACACTTATATAACTATCACAAACATCTGTTAACGATTAATAATAATAATCGCTCGATAATCGCTTCGTGTGTACGCACAGATCGCTCGTATTGCATGCATAGGCGTGCGCAGACTTAGTCCGCAAAGGGGGCCCCTTAAAAAAAGTGAACCAAAGAGTCTTATACTAAAGACTGCTAGTATAATTAAATATTTTAAATTTTATAAATTATTTAATTCAATATGCAAATATAAAAATAAATACTATTTAAATGTACACAATTTATATCTAAAAAATTCTTATTTACATATTATTATACTATTTACAACTCCATCCTTCTGTCCACGGGACTAAGATTTTTGAATGTATCAATTACATCTTCAATTTTTATATTATATGCAAGTTCTGATTACTCTGATTAATAACTTATAACTGTATTACATTTATTCACAGATATCAGTTCTATACTATAAGATTTAAACGGGATTTACTTTATTCATGTAAAATGTAAAAATGTTCGCTATCTTGTATAGTATAGATATACATTTATTAAAGAAAAAGCCAGAGTTCGCAGGGGAGGCCGCGGCCCACTCGGCCATCCCCGTGCGCACGCCTATGATTGCATGTATTCCATAGATCAGTGGTCTTCAACCTTTTTTGACCTGCGACCCACTTTTCTTACCAAACATTTTTCGCGACCCATGTAAATTTCGTCAGCAAGGAAAACCAAATAAAAAAGTTAAAATTGTTTAATGTATGCCATTTTAGAAGTGCTTTTACAACTGAATAAATAAAAATTTATATTTTTTAGGTACCTATTTAGGAAATATTTAATTTTTAATATAAGTAATAATACAAAAAAAAAAAAAAAAAAAAAAAAAAAAATGCATGTAGTGATACCGAAAAATGTATATGTTTTGATGTACAAAAGAAATTAGTGCGATATTTGTCCTTCCGGACTGTTTTCACACGAAATACCTCCACCTCAGCTCAGTTTAACACAATGCAGTTTATAGATATATGAAATGTAAATGAGATTTATAAATTAAGTTGGGCTATCACCTCATTTGATTGTTAATTATTTTTTTCTTTTATTTGAAAATTGAGGCTTCAACAGCTAATACTATTAGCTATTAGATGTTACATATTTGATATGTTAGATGTTAGATTTAAAATTACAATATTATATTACATATGAAATATTATATAGGTGGTTAGATGTAAATTAAGATTTATTAATATAATATTTGTGATACTTAATAATGTGACTATTTTCATAGTTTGTTTTTCGCTAAGTACTTTTACTATATGGATGGTGTATTCAGGTCGGTGTGTATTGAGGTAAATTGTGTACACTCCTCCACTATGTGTTCGACAGTTAATGATTAGTGGTATGTGTTGCATATTGGTTTGAGAATTTTTTCTAATTGAGTATGAGAAAAAAAGTGTTCATTCTAATATTCTACAAATTTAAAATAATTTAAAATAGTACAATTTTGGGTTTATCCGAAAACATTTTCATACAATATCATATAACATACATTATATAATATATATATATATATATATATATATGTATATATAAATATGAATTTTTTAAATTTTAAACAGAAAACTTATCGCGACCCACTGGTTGAAATCACTGGCATAGATCGTGCTTGCATCGCGTCGCGAGTCAATCGCTTCGTGTGCGGAGGGCCTTAATTCCACCATAGTATTAAAATGACATTTAAACTACATACAATTATGTGGACTGGAGATCTCACATTGCGAACGTTTTAATTTTTATCGATTATTTTCTTCCGACGTTTTCCTTAAATTCAGTTGTAATTATTGATATGAAAGCCCGGCTCACCGGGCTAAACCGTTAATCCAATTTCCGGATCGGACTACAGGTAGAGGGATGTACTATGTTACATGTATACAGTGGCATAATTATTAGACGGATTTAAGTCCCGGGTGGTACAGTCTAAGAAGTTGAATGTATTTTGTGTTTCAAATTATTGACACTAGGGTTTATCTCATAAAGCACTGAATGTTAGTTCTAACGGTCATCAATAGCTTATGTATCATGATGATCTTAAATACTATTTCATTAATGAGATTCAGCCGTTTTTTTTTGCTCTTAATATCACGGGACGAGGCAATTATTGAAGGAAATGGAAAAAAATATTTAAATAATTATTTAAAAATATCGCTCCGGTTACTATCATCCTCCCATGGATTACGCATCAAAGTTATTTCTATGTTATATACGGGGATAAAACGAAATCTAATCCGACCATTTGCGAAAATTTCAATGAAATAGGTCCATCGTCCGGCCATATTCCTTCACACGTATAATACTAACAACCAGGATTTTCGAGTATACCGCAATAAATATCGGTAGGTGTCGGCTGATAGTGTTGTAATGTCAAAAAGGTGATGAACAATGAAGCACAACATATGTTTTGGTAAGTACTCTACCACACCTCTATCATATATATTTCCACTGTGAAATTATACATGGTTCCTTTAAGTGTACGTTTTGATATTATGAACGCATATGTTCGGTACAATTTAAAACAACTAATATTAGCATTAGTACACCAAATTGCACGACGCCTGGATGTATAAAAAAAAACCTTTCCGCCACTGCGGCGGCTATCCGAACGCGCGTAGTACCCGAAATGAATTCCTTTCATTGCAAATTAACATCTATCGCTTTAACGTGAAATCTCGTTTTGTTATACTTGGGTACCTACTTAACTTTTGTTTTTAATAGCAGAAAATTGATTGGTAATATTCTAATGATAACGTACCGATTTGAAGCGCATTAATATACTTGTCGATCAGATCGTCTTATTGCTTGTTATTATTTTATTGATAATGACTGACACGTTGATGGCTTCTGGAGCATCATGGGTATATGTTTAACACGGACATTCGACATTTGTAGGGACGACTGTCCTCTTAGCTTGCCTGTCCGTCGCAGAAAGAACATCGTAATCGAACGATATCGACCCTCGTGATAACGGAAGGGGTGCGCAGCGATTTCAACGGGAACGTTGTACGCACACGGACGGATGGAACGCTTTATTCTCAACCCCAGCCCGTTTCTGTCCGCACAGTCCGGTGTGTGCGTGCGCGCGCTCTGTAACCGCTACAAGCTTATTAACGATTCGTGGTCTGTACGGCCCCGTCCGAAGAGTCTCCCTTCTTTAATTTTACCAAGTTCAGCATTGCCTACGTGTTAATCCACTCATCCGGTTTGTCTTTCACCACAACACTCGTGGCGGCAGTATCAGCCAGGGCTGTGCAATGTGTTCGGGTATTAGGGCTATTCATGCCGAATCTCGGGGCCCCGTTGGCGTCTTACGGGAAACTGCTCTACGATTCGAAGAGGCCGTCCGCATGGTGAAAACCAGATTGGCAATGAAGACAGTCGGGACGCGCAGGACAATTCTCACGGATGGAGAGGTGCTACTGGCGTCCACATTACCGGCGGACCTTCAGGCGCTCGAACAGAGGTGAGTCGGGCACGGATATTTCCGTCACCACTTACATCGTATGAACAGGGCCCTGGACTAGTGACGCCGAAATCAGGGTTCGAGTCGGGTCATAACCAGACCATTTCTTAGGGTGATGGGTGGCGCTATGGTGGATTAGTATACGAGTAATAAGTGAATTAATCCAATTAAATATAAATTGTAATAATGCCCACTTAATAATTACTATTTAAGACGTTTAAATTCCTAAATGCTATCAAAATACTAAAATAGGTTAAATATTTTTGGGTAATTTTTAAAGTACTTCTTAGGTGGGGTGGATTGTAAGTTGTAAATTGGATTGGTCAAATCATTTTATACTTTATCCGGACACTTCATACCACTACTACGTCAACGATTGGGATACCGCAAAGCAAACACTTTTTGAGTGTCCACACTAGTACGATCTTGCTATAAAATCACCGGAAAACGTG